AAAAAAAAAAAAAAAAAAAAAAATTTACCTTGTTGGAGAAGAATCCTTTGCCGAGGCCGTAGAATTTTTTCGACATTTTTTTGGATTTTTTTTGATGCTCGAATCGTTCGTTGAAGTTCGGAAGTTTAGAGAGATAGAAAGTTTAGAGAGATGAAATCAAAAAAAGGGTTAAGGGCAAAAGAGTAAATGGGGGGGGGGGCGGTGACTAGTAAAAGGGGGGCGGTGAATAGCGATTGAGTTATTTATGTGTAAGTGTTTAAGTTATTTTGCCTACACTAAGCTAGTTCCTTTATTTCGATCGGTCCAAGTCCAAACTCCGTTTATTTAGTACAGTTTTGGCCCAAATAAAAGTCACTAGTAGCTCCCATTTAATTTTCGGCCCAACGTCAGTTGGCCCAACTCACAGTTTTAATCAAAGTCTTCATTTGTTTTTTTTCTTGGCCCAAGAAGCTCCTTTCAACCCAAATTCCAATCCAAGAAGCAGCCTAACGTTTCCCCCAAATTCTCGGTTTCTCTCCCTCTCCGATCTCTCTCTCTCTCGAATCTGCAGCAACGACGGGAGGAGTTCTCCCCAATTCTTTCGAGCAGTTGCAACAGATTTTGGCCCTCCACCCTTAAAATTGATCGACGCCCCTCATACCCTCGCCTCATCTCCTCTCGATTTAGCAGCAATCGTCCCTCCGAAATTCCTTACGGCCGGAAGACAACCGGCGACGCGAGGCAGGTGAACCGAGAACGAGCAGCAGCGGCGGAGCTATTCCCGACGAACCCCGACCAACCGCTGCTGAGCCGTCGCGAGGCCGGAATTCGCGACACCCGACCACCATCCAGGGCCAAATCGAACACCGCCGAGAAATTTCGTCCCAGCCGCCCTTGCGATTTCTACCGGCGTTTTTCGAGCCTTACACCGAGGTCCCACCGCACCAGGTTCGCGAGTCTAGAGTTTCTAGCAGTCGAGCCCGGTTCGAGTTTTCAGACCCCGTCGTTCCCCTTTCTACCTCTGACCGGTGAGTTCCTTCATCTGCGCGACGACAAACCAACCCCTTTGTCGTGAAACCTCGCCGGCGACCTCTGTTCCACAGCAGTCCTTCGCAATCACCGAGAAGCAGGCCCGTAATTTTTTTGAGCAGCCCGTAAGTGCGAGGGGGAGCCCGAAACAGCAACGGCAGCCTTTCGGGCCCGTGCGGGATCGTCCTCGGCACCCGACCTTGTCCGACGAGCCGCAGCCCTTGTCCGCAGCTGTAGGAGACCCTCGAGAACCGCTTAACCGAGTCGTTGCTCTTTTCTTAAGCCGAGTGAGGTATATTGGCTGTACCTTTTTGCCTCATTCTTGGCTTAGATATTGTGCTCTTTGTGCCTTTACTGTTGTGATAAATTGAGGTGGCTGGCATGTGTTTAGGTGCTGAATTCACGTGTGGTTGACTCGAGTTTTATCGGTCTGTTTTTGTTGATTTCTCCATGAATTTTATATGCCTATTTCGTGCTTAAATTCAGTGTTTTGTTTCAGTTTTTAAGGTCTTGATATATATGTATGTGAGCTGAGAAAAGACAGGAGGGTTGAAGGCATGTATATATGTTGCTGTTTGAGCGAGTATGGGTTGCTTTTTGTTTAACTTATGTGATGATAAGCATGCTGATTATATGGTGCTTTTATCAAGTTGTGTTCAAAAGTAATGCCCATAGATGTGGTGGAGACATTGAGAAGAGAAGATAAATCAGAGAGCTGCTATTGTGTTTTGTTTTGGATTTGCTTGATCTTAAATTTGATAGAGAAAGTTATTTGTACTTATAAGTTCATGTATTTGTGCATTAAATTTCTGTGACTTATTTGTGTATTGTGCTGCTGTGTTATTCATACCTATATATTTCTAAGGCTGTCATATGTTTTACATGCAGTGATTATGTACATTTCAGAGCATTAAAAATCAGTTCTTGAAGCCTAGTTATGAATAATTGCTGAAGGTTCCTCATGTGATTTAATGGTTGAATATGTTCTTAAATGTTAGAATTTTGTTCAGCTCGTAAGGCCTTTTCAATTGCTTTTGAAACTTGAGAGTAGAAAGTTAAACATGTTGTGTTATAGGCCTTGATTAATCACGTTCGGTGTTGAGCCTTTTATGCGGGTTATTTGTTTAATTGTGCCCTACCTGCCTTATTTGTCTTGTCCGATTAGTTGTTTGTTTGCCTTGCTGTTTTTCTCTGCCTTAATCAACTAAATGAAAACCAATAAGAATAATTAAATCCCTAATTTTCATTAGGTTTCGAGATTGATAGGTTAGGTGTGATCACATGAGCGTGGCTGTGTTTAGGGAGGGTAGACTAGTCGATTTGCTTACATACTGCGACCATGATTTTAAGTCTTTATATTGATTATACTACATGGTATTCCCACGGTGAGCTAGTTGTTTGCTTACTCCCACTATTAACCATCTTTTCAGGTTGAGCTGGTGGCCGTGGCGAAAGACGAGCGAGGCGGGGTCAAATTTTTTTTGTTGTTTTGTTATGTTATTGCTTCCGCCTGTTTATTATTATTGATTTAACTGTCAGACATGTTAAATTAATGAGATTGGAGACTGAATTATGTATTTGGATATTTCGTATGCTATTATGAAATCGGATATTCTTATGTTGAAATTTATTCGAGACTATTATCATTTGGAAACGGAATAATTGTTTCTGGGATTTTTATAATGCTTGGGATTTATGGAACTTGAATAATATTTTGAATAATATTTGGAATCTGATCTGATTTGGATATTATTATGTTTGGATATTATTATGTTGACCTGGATTTGTTTATACCGCATGATGGATTAAATGTTGTTGACATGAGAAATTTGTTTCGGGATGGTTGTACCCCGATGTTTAAGGGATTGACTTAAACCGTTATTATGTGGATAATTGAGTAGCACCCGTTAATTAAGTTTTAAATTTGGTTTTTCAAAAATTAACTCTGATATTTGAAAAAA